TCAGATGCTCTGCCACAGGCCGGAAACACCACACAGCACCTTCTCAGCAGTTTCACCTTTGTTTACCTCAGCAAGAGATGCTTTCAATGACTATTTTAACACCTAGAGAAGGTCCTTAGGAGAAGTCACCTCATTCATTGGAGAAGGCAAAACTCATGAAATCTTACTTACTGTGTTCTTGGAAGCTTGTTCAGAAGTGAGACTGGCCAGCTCCTCAAGACCGTGCGCAGACACGTCTGTCTGAGGTGCTCCGTGTGGACTGAGATTTGAGAAAAAGTCTCTGTTTGCTAAGAAACAAAGGGAGATAAATGGGTAATCCAGTGAAAGCAGCATCTTTAGGAAGTCATGTCTTAGCACTAGCAAGCTGACTTATTTCCCTCAAAACCAGGTCATGTTTGGCTTGCATCAAAAATATGGTCAGTTATGCAAACTTAAGACTATGAATTTTATAAATCCTGCATGCTCTAGGTTACAGGGGACAAAAACCATTTACAGTTCTAAAGCTAGTTAAAGAAATTAAAAGTTCACACACACATTTCTTTATGGAGGAAGCATTAGCATGCACAAACTACTTATTTGTCACAGGTGAAGCAAAGAGGTTTGTGCTAAAGACATAGCAACTTACAGACTACTCAAGAAAGAAAGTCAGAGAGGAAGGAAAAATGTTTGTCCTTTAATTTAGCCAATTTTTTATATTGTGGTTGCACTTCCAAGACATGTGCATGACAGGAAAGCATACATGTCTTTTCTCTTGGAACCTCCAAGGAAGGCAATGCTTCTTGAAAAAGGTCTTCGAGTCTTAGTTTGACTGCTAAACTCTACTCTTGCAACAGATCTGCAGAGACTGCAGTTAGTAAACTCTCAGACAGATCCCATCCTCCTGGCTTTGGAAAGCCCAAAGCGTCACTTCATAACCAGCCTGGCTTGTCCTGGCCACAAAGACGCTCAAGCCTCTGGAGAACCCCAGTGCACCCTATTCTTTGCAACTCATTTACCTTGCACGCTATGCACACAGCGTACGGCATAGTTAAGGGCATCTAGGGTGCTGGGTTTAGTGTGTTTCTCGGCTGGAAAATACTTTTTCATTTCTTGGACAATCATTATAAGTTCTTCAGATATTCTGTTTCTGTCTTCATGTTCACTGAATAGAAAAAACACACACAGAAGTGGCAATGGTGGACATTCAGAAGTATCTGTTTTTTAGGGTGTTTGGACGCACCAACTCACTCGGGTTAATGACCTTTCTCTTGCAGGTAGGGCACATTTGACACTCTCCAACCTCCCTTCAGCTCTACCTAACTCCGTCGAATTCTTTAACCACTTGGCCACTTCTTTCCTACTCTGGTAATTTACTCTAGTAACCCCTCCGCCCATCGATTCTTACTCAAGTGTCCAAAAGTTCCCCGTCGTGTCGCCTCCTCTGACACTCTCTGCCCCCGGGGTCAAAAATACAACAAAAAAAGTTGTTAGCTAGCTCCAGGGAAGGCTACCCGGCGTCACCTGTGGCTGCTGTCCACGAAAGTGCCCAGCAGCGGACCCTCCTGTCCCCTGTCCTGGGGCCAGTCGCCGCCTACTGCCGGGTCTCCACAGGGGTCCATCCCGCCTGGCAGCCCTCAGTTTGCAGCCAGCCACCAAACCCGGCTTGTCCCTGCCATCGCCTTCGGGAGAGACTGGTCGCCGACCACGCTCATCTGAGGGGCACTTTTCTCCTCAGCATTTTCACAGTCTCTGCTCGGGTGACGAGCTACACCGACACCTCGACGCCGGAAGCGGGCTGGTCGGACCCCGCCGCGGCTCTCAGGGAGCTCGTTCAGCCCGAACCAACTTTTCCACCGTCCATACTGGGAAGTCGGCGACCATCAAGAAACGTCTCATAGCGCACAGTTCCGGGGCGACCGCCCGGGCGGAAGGCCGGGGCAGAGCGGCTGATCATGCAGCGTCGGAGGCCTCCCTCCAGCCAAGCCCTCGCCCACCCGCGCGCCGCCAGGTCTCGAGGCCAGCCGCGTGCTGAGCCGCCGCCGACCCCGCCCCCCTGCGCGCTAGGGCTCCGGCCACGCCCCTCCGCCGCGCGACTGGTCCTGGCGGCCGGCTACGAGAGACTCCACTGGCCAGGGGCGGGCCGGGGGCGGAGTCAGTCTCGGCACGGCGGGGGGTTACATAACCGCGGGCGGGTGGGCGGGTGCAAAGGCCCCGGAGAACCTTACGTAACGCGCGGGTCGGGCGAGGTCGGCTCTCGGCCAATCCCGTCCGCCAGGAGCCCGGGTCGGGGGCGGAGTGGCCGTGAGGACGCTAAGGCCTAGACGCGCAGTCTACGGCTGGGCCTCCCGGAGGCGGGGCCTCGGAGCTGTCAGTCAGGAGGGGCGGGTCAGGGGCGTGGCCTGCGCGGCCGACAGGTGAGTGGAGCCTGGTTTCCCAGCCGCACTTGTGAGGCTCCTCGAGGGGACGCCGTGCTTTGGCATGAACGATCTTCTTGGTTTCCTATTGTTTTAATCTTTCCTAAACTTGCTGTCTCCTCCCGAATGCCAGCTACAGGCGAATGGACCCAGGTAGAATCCAACCGAATTTTCAGAAATAGAAATTTAATGATACAAGGTAACTTCCCTGGCTGCCCTGAAGTTACAGATTCATTTAGCAACAGGAGGAAAATGAACATATGTAAACGACGCCCCCTTTTCCAGGAAACATCCGGGACGCTCTTTTCATCTATCTCTACTCTTCCGAAATGAAATCAACAGGGCAGAGCTCCAGCCCTCTGCTGCCTGGGTACACCAAGAAGACACGGGGGTAGGGGTGGGGGTAGGAGATGGCGCAGCAGTTTAGAGGGGAGCGCCTTGTCCGTCCGTTGGACGGTTCCCAGGCACCCTCTATCAGGTGCCTCACAAGTATCCGTAATTCCTGCTCCAGAGGATCCAACGCCCTCGTGGATAAAAGCACTTGCACGCACGTGCACATATCCAGACACACAGCAGAGAAATAATAGAATCTAAAAAAAAAAGGTACACACAGTATTTTTTGGATGAATGAAAGATGTTCTAGGTCAAAGAAGAGGAAAGTGACAGAGGGCAGTTATCCACATTATGTAGTTTTTCTCTACACCGGACCACTCTACTGCCAAGCTCTTCTTTAAGAAGCATTCATTATACAGCTATTGTGTGCACACCTGAGCAGAGATTATTGTACTCTCTGAGGACAGGACAAAAGTCTCTACACTCAACATACAACACAAATGACCCCTGAAAGTCTGAGATGATGATAAAGAAGAAGCTGGTGGAATGGGAAGGATGGAGGTTAAGGGAGGAGGCAAGAGGATTGGGAAATGGACTGGAGGATGTTTTCACTGAGAAGGGGAAACTGAGCCTCAGTGGTGCCTTGGGGTGAGGGAAGTGGGTGGGCCGACAGCACTGAAGAGCACTGCATCTGCCAGGCCATCCCGGTGCAGAGCAGGTTAGCTGAACCTGTGAACCTGTGAGCCGGTCCGAACGGAAGGGCCCAACCATCCGTATTTACCTATCTGGCTGGTGGGGGTGTGGTGTGCCAAGGCCAACTTTCCAGATTACTTCCAGAAGACCATATTTTTTTTAAATATTTATTTATTTGTTATGTATACAATATTCTGTCTGTGTGTATGCCTGCAGGCCAGAAGAGGGCACCAGACCCCATTACAGATGGTTGTGAGCCACCATGTGGTTGCTGGGAATTGAACTCAGGACCTTTGGAAGAGCAGGCAATGCTCTTAACCTCTGAGCCATCTCTCCAGCCCCTATTTTAAGAAACCCACAGGCCACATCCTACCTTCAAGCCAGCTCCTAACTCATCTCTGCACCGAGAAGCACTTTAATTTGGGGTGTGTGACACTGTTGACTTTATTGGGTCTGGAATCAGCTGAAAGGCAACCTGCTGGGCAGGCAATCCTGGAGGATTTTCTTGCTCAGATTATAGCAAGTGGGGAAGACCTACCCTGTGTAGGCAGCCATTTTTGGCGGCAGCCCAGGTAACGGTGATGGAAGGATGCTCTGCTTTTTGCCCGTGAGCCTCTTTCACTGGAGTTCATCCGCCCTGATGTGGCTGCACTTTGCTGTTATCTCAGCTTCTCTGGGCTTCAGCATGGTCCGAAGACCAGAGGTTTTCCAGGAATACCCCAGCCTGCAGTGCTGGGCTGGAACTGCAGAAGCACTTGGCCTCATGAACTGAACAGCTACCAAGTTCTCTGTAAGGGAATGGTGGGTTGGAGCAGATCAGCTCAGCACACCCCAAGGCCAAGGTCTCAGCACAAAGGAGATTTATTTGCCCCAAAGGAACAAAGGGCAGAGAAAAAGAGACAAAGATAGGGGATAGAGGATGAGGGAGAAGGGAAGGGAACAAGGTAGAAGGGGCAGGGATGTTTGTCCTGGAGGGAGACAGACGTGATCCATAGGAAAATGGCAGCTTATAAAGGGAAAAGGGGAAACCCCGTGTTTGGATGAGGTCTTTAATTTTAATTGGGCATGTTAATCAGGTGAGCCAAAGGGGGTTTTTTGATTGCTGGACTTCAATACTTTGACAGCTGGACCTTGGTAGTCAGTCACAGGAGGAGAAGTGGCTGAATAGGGGAATAGACCTTGGGGGCTAGCTTTAGGAATGTAATCTAATGTTTTTTTAGGGAGGGAATAGGAGAGAAGGGCAGGGCCTGCCAGAGTCATGTCTGTCATGCTTAGGCCGGCTACAGTTCCATCATTCCCAGCTTCTTCAGTGTGAAGCAGATGATATCACATAAGCCAACCTAATAAACCTTCCTCTAATATATATTCATCTTATCAGTTCTGTTGTCCAAGGGAAGCCTAGCACAGGACGGGATCTCCAGCTGCTCAGGGAAACTTGTGCTGCAGCGGGGGGGGGGGGGGGGGAGGTGGGGGGGGTGGGTAAGAGACAAAAGGTAGTATGTGGTGGGGGGGGACAGCAAGGAGAAGTTTTAGGACATGGATCAGGTGTACCCACCCCGCTTCAAGGAACACAAGGCAGGATCATGTTAATAAACAACTTTATTTAGGACATCATAGCGGGAAAGTTCCCAGCTAAATGCACAGACAAGCGAGGTATTACTGTGTTAACGCAGGAGCCAATGAGTTACATGGGTCTGAGTATGGAGGAGACAGCACCAAGGTTGTGGGTCAGACCAGGACAGAGGCCCTAGGCTGATGCTGCTTTCCCATAGTGGGGCACACTTTCAATAGTTTTATTGTTTCAGTAATGTCAGGGGAACAAATAAAAAACTGGAACCAGATTCTATTATGCCTTGACTGATGCCACTTTGCACACACAAAATCCAGGGCATTCTAGTGGCACTGCCATAGGCAAAGAAAGCCTGTTTCTTCCTCACTGATTTCTTATGTTCATTCATGCCTGAACTCTCAACTTTGAACCATGCCTTGATGAAAGTCTCAGACACACAACGAAAGTGTTTCAGATGGCAATAGCTATGGCTTAAGAGCAACAGGCATCTCTGCTTAGCTCTCCACTTGGAAGTGGCCAATACCTTACCTCAAGCACAATACAGAGGACCGGTTTAGGAAGTGGGGTATGAGCAAAAGCAGAAACAGCATTCAAGATCTCAGGTCTGTGCAAACTGACGTGAGGCTGCGGAGCTGCTGCTCACACTGCACCAGTGACCGCAGCCTCTACTTCAGTCTGCAAACTGCTGGCTAAATGCCTTATCTATAGGTCTGACTTTAGCTTACCTCTATAACTCTATAAAAGAAACCAAATCTGAAGGAGTAGCATTATCTACAGCACAGAAAGGACTGTAAAAATGCTGAAGGCTCACACAGAATTAACACTTTTTTCTTGAAGGGCACCTTGAGTTACATTTGGCACATTGTTTGAATTTGTCTATTAGGGACAGACTTATGGACATTTTATTTGTATTTAACTTTTGGCAAAAATACTTTGGTCATAGTTCTACAAAAACATTTTAAAGGGTTATTTTTGATTAAAATACTCTGAGAAGTGATACACAACAAGAACAAAAAAGTAAACATCTTCACACCTAACATGAGAGCATCTTAAATACAGCAGGAGTCAGTAGTGCTTACAGAAAGGAGGGTCCTCTTAAGGAAAAGGAGCCAGTATCAAAATAAGGCTCACCCTGTTATTGCCACCGATGTTTACTAGGCAGTAGTGTTCTTGGAAGGCACAAGTTGGGAATCTAATCACCCAAAGGTTTGAAAATGTGGTTTTGAAGACGATGTCAGGTGTGGGGACAACTGACTTGAATAGAATCCCCTTCCTGGAATCCACAGCGAGTCATCAGTGACAACATCCACCTTGACTCCAGCACTCTGGAGCAACAGAAGTCCTCTTTCCTAGTCGGTGCATAGCTCTGTGAAGGCACTGTGCAAAATGTGGGCAGGGCAGCTCACACCCCCATTTGGAGTGTATATTTAAACAAAGGCACATTTCCTAGGCACTGAACTGTATGTAAACTAACAAAAATAATCATTTGGACAAAAAAAAAAAAACAAAAAACAGTAGGTAAGCTCAATAACATAGCAGGTTCTAAGTAGAAAGTCTTGAAAACGCTCCTGAACAGTAGGCTTCGGTTTCACCAGGATCTTCATTAAGAGACACACCACACTAAGAAGCAGGGAAGATTTAGAAACAGTGAAAGGGCAGTTTAGTCTTTTTGCATAGATACTCAATATGGGCTTCTATTGTCTAAATAAGGACAGGAAGAAATCGATTTGGCCAGTTGGGATGGAGCAAGGTGGTCTCAGCTAATCACTATATTACACAAAAGGAAACATAAAACGACACAGGAAAGAAAAATTGACCAGTTAGTAGGAATGATATTCCAGTTTCAAAGGATTAATGTATGTATGTATGTGTGTATGTACCTATCTATCTAAAACACCAGACTTTATTACACAAATCAAATATTTAGGGTCAATATGGTGGTGGTACATACCTATAATCCTAACACTTGAGAGGTTGAGGTGAGAAGATCACAAGTTAAAGGTCAGGTTGAGTTGAACAGTGAGACTCTGCCTCAAACCTCCCTCCACACCACCATCCTAAAAAACTCTCAAATATTCAAATTATTTGGTAAAGAGAACCTTGGAATGAACTAACCTTCATCCTTTGCTCCTGCACATGCAAACATCTGTGAATAAGGGGGGAACTCACCAATAATGATGATGACAATAATCACCAGGACACTGATCCCTATCGCCCACATCTGCAACAAGACAGGTCCATTTAACATTGCAAAAACAGACAGAGAGCGCTCACTGAAATAGCAAACACTGTAGTGTGAAATAAGTTATCATTTCTAAAGCCTAAATTTAACGTTTTCAGTTAAGGCCTAAAATTTAGTTATGGGCTTTCAAAAATGTGTTCCAATCCTCCACGGCCCCTGGAAAAACAAATTTCCACACAAGCTACTGATTGTCCCATGTATCCTTTCTAAAGAAAGCATGACAGAAAAGTATTTGCAATGTAATCACAGACGCTCTCATCTGCTAACTATGTAAGCCTGCTTTGAGCAATATTTGTATGTGGCTTTCTCTTCTTTCATTGAGCAGGAGAACTTCTCAGCATTTAACTTTTGAAATCAGAGTCTTTCCTAGAATGGCCTGCAAACTGAGTATCAAAGCCAGAACTACCTTATCAGTGTGTTCTCAGGTACCTAGGCGGGGATCTAATGCCCAGGGCTGGTTTGGGACAGTTTTATTCTGCATATCTTTTAACTTTAGTACAAAACATGAGATTGGATTCCAAGCTGTGGGCAAGGAAAAGTGAAGTAGACTCCCGGTTGGCTCAGATCCACCCAGAGTCACAGAATGCAATGCTGTGGCCTCTGCAACACTCTGGCACGGAGGGTCTAAAGGGAAGGTCTTTCAGAAGGGCATTACCTTGCAGTTCTTCCACCAGTACTTTCTCTTCAGCTTGGCAGCACTTGTTTCAAACTGAGAAGCACCTGCCTGCAGTGCATCTGCGCGATCATCTAGCTCCGAGAGCTTCTGATCTCTTTCTAACACCTTGTCCACGTTGACTCTCATGATATCAACCACCTAAACGGACATGGTTCCAGTTACACAAGAAGGAGAGGAAGAACAAAACTCCACATGAACTCTACGGGCACCTCCCCCGCCCAGGTCAGCATTTTATTACTTTGAGGTAAACTTTCACTTAAAAAAGGAGGCCCAGGTCTTTGTGATAAATCCACTTAGCAAACCGGTGAGAGAAGGGAACATCAATAATGGGCAGTGCTGGGGAAATCCACACTACCACTGCATGCCACGGTGAGAGAGTCAGCTTCCTCTAAGGTCTGAAACAGAATAGGGCACTCACTTTCATGGCTCTACACTGGCAGTTCTGGCCAGGGCAATCAGTTAAGGAAACAAAGACATCCTAGTTTAAAGTAAGAGGATATCTACTGCTCCACGTAAGAAATTCTGGTCTACAGAGTTCTCGAGACTGAGGACGGCCTGGGCTACACTGAGAAACCCTATAAAAATATAGAAGTAGGGAACCAGGAAGTAGTTCATCAGTTAAGTGCATTGGCTGCACAGCAGCTGACAACCTTCTGCAACTCCAGTTCTAAGGGTTTTGATGCCCTCTTCTGGCCTCCGAAGGCACTGCACACATGCAGTACACATACATGCAGTCAAAACACTAACACAGATGAAATAACAATAAATCTTGAAAAAAAAAATCCTTACTGCTGCCCTTGGTCGTGAGGTCGTGCTTGGCACCAGGCTGCAGCAGTCATGATGACCCTGCTTCAGCATGTATGTGATCACTGGGTTACATGTCTCTGTAGGATTTGTCTTTGGATGCTAAATAGACAGAAGGGATGACCAAAAGCTAACGGCCTTCTGGAATAAGACTATGCTCTTTCAAAGGGAACTGAGACCTAATGAGGAGGTTAGTTGGAAGTAAAGCCTGTGGCTAAATCACAGGATGTTTACATTTTAAAGTTATCAGAGAAATAAAAATGTTTATTATTTTTTTAAAAATGAATATGGAAATGTTGGCCTGAGGTTCTCACAGTTTACTGTACACATGAACACACCCAAACAAAAGACACCGTAAGAGTCCTCTAGCTTGAGAGTTCCAGAGAGAATGCTGGGCTACAGCAGTTCCACCTTCAATGTGTCCCTCAGCAACTGCCAAAGAAAGCGTCAACAAACCTGCCTATACCAGGTAACTAGTAAACCTAGCTATAGGACATACAGCAAATAAACAAACACCAGATCAGAAAGACTTGACCCTTCTTGAACAATCTAATTACCCCATTCTACAAAGTGGCTCTGAGGACATACTTCGGGGACAGGATCATCTGTTTTAGGTATCTGATTTGATAGTAGATAATTAAGTATGAAACCAGGAAGAGTCTACTTTGTGCTTAAAACACAGCTTCTACAACATGCAGGCAAAACACTCCTACACATAAAAAATAAAGAATATGAAAAAAGAGAATATGGAAATACTGGTCTGAATTTCTCACAGAATCTTCCCTGTGGTCCTCTAACTACACATCTAGAAAGACGTCTACATAGTCAAAATTTATACTTGCACATTGATGATGCTTTTTTTCTAACAGTAATTTTTTTAAAATTATGTATGTGTGTGTGTCTATGCAGATGCATGCAGCTGCCCTTGGAGGCCAGAGTTAAAGGCAGTTGAGTGGCCCAAATACGTGTACTTGGAACCCAACCTGGATCCTCTGCTAGAACAGTAAGTGTTCCTAACCACTGAGCAATTTTCTGCAGCTCCAGTGACTTTCCTGACAGAATTCCCATGTCTGTTTAAAAGTTACACTTCAGCATTTTAGAGCACTACCTCATCTACTTGATTCTGTGTCTGCTGGAGTCTGCGGTTACTGCCAGCGGCAGCACTTGAACTTCCTGAAGGCACACCTGTGGACCTGAAAGGTAGAAGGCAGAAGCATGAGTATGTTATGATTTCCAATGTACTTACATCAGCCAGACTTGGTAAGGCAAACACGTAATCCCAGTGCTCCTACAGTGAGATGGGAGGGGGAGACATGAGAGCTTTGGGCACTTGACAAACGCAGCACCATCTGAAACTGTCCTCTGTTCTCACACATATACCACGCCGTGTGTGTGTACAAACTTTTATGTCAGGACTCAGTCTTATAATGAAATTTTTTAAAAAGAAAAAAACAGTCCTGCAGTAAGAAATAAAGGCACTAATGCATTTTTTTTTATACTCCCTTGATAATTCCCAAGACTGTCCCAGTTGATGGTGACCAAAGTCTGAAACATTTCTTCTATCAATGAAGTGCATGATTCTAAGGCTGGATACCTCTACTTTTGGTCTTCTTAAAAAAAAAAAATTTGCTAGGGGCTGGAGAGATGGCTCAGCAGTTAAGAGCACTGGCTGCTCTTCTAGAAGTCCTAAGTTCACTTTCCAGCAACCACATGGTGGCTCACAACCATCTATAATGAGATCTGGTGCCCTCTTCTGGCCTGCAGGCAGAACACTGTACATGATAAATAAATTAAAAAACCCAAACTTGCTTTAGGACACACAAATGATTAAGGGCACCGAGTATTCGCCTGACTTTTTGTTGGGGCAAGAACTGTCTTATTATAATTAGAAACAATCACAAAATAGCAAAATGGAGAAGTAGTGCTTGGGTTTGTGTGAATGGAAAGGTGGGCTGAAGCAATACTCTCTTGGGAAAGCCTTCTTCCACAGGTTCTTTGAATGCTCTTTCACTCACGCCCACTTTTCATAACTACTCTTGCTTTGAAATCCTTAAGACCTCCATTAAACTCCTCCTGTGTCTAGGACAGCACCTAAGGTGAGCCTCGCTACACAGCAGTCGTCCAGTCGGTGATACAACAGTTCTTTGAAGTTTGCACCGTGTCTATCAACAGGACACGACACTTCTGATGGCTGTCTCACAGAACTCCAGGTCTGGGAGGGAAACAGATAAACCGAGCTCTAGGGCCAAAAGGTATCCATGTGTCCTATGAATCCTAACAGCTCCCTGAAGAGGGTAGATAGTCTTCCCCTCTTCATCTTACTAAAATTTAGAATGAATATGTAGCTGGCTAAAGTGAAGCCAGGTCCAGTTTAATTCTTTGAATGAGATGTCGGGCACAGCAGTCTGACCAGGTACATCTTAAGTGGTGTCAACTTTGGGTAGAGGGATTTTACCCATTTACAAACAAGAGTGTTTTCAGCTTAAAAGGGAAGCGAAACCCACGGCCAAGGGCTGCTGGGACCGCGGCAGCTCTTCTGAGGTCGCCACCTGGGCCTCACCCCTGGCCGTACTCGGGTTTCCCGCACTTTCGGGGGCACCACCGCGCAGAGAGCGAGCCTCAGCTCGGGGTGGCCCCCGCCCCTCCAGGACCTCGGGGAAGGAACCACGGGGTGTGGCGGCAGCTTCCTCTGGAAGCCGGTGCCCCACCCTCGCCCTTCCGCGTCTGCCCGCCAGCCCGCGGGGCACTCCGGGACGCCGCGCCACCCCGACTCGGCCCGCAGCGTCCGAGGGCAGAGTGCACCCCGGGGCCACCGCCCACTTCGGGCCCAGGGCGCTGCGCGCAGGCCCGCGAGGCCTCCACCCGAGTTCGGGTCCCGAGCAGCGGCCACCACGCCTGACGAGGGTCCCAGGAGGGGGCTGCGGCCCCCGGAGCCCGCCTCGCCTCGCAGCGCGGCGCGTCACTCACATTTTGGCGGCAGCGGTAGCGGCGGCGGCAAGCAGCCGAGGGTCTGCGGACTCGTGCGGCGAGCGACCGAGGCTGTGGAGATGGGCGGGGCTGCGGTGACGTCACGAGCTGGGGCCGGACAGGAACCGAGGAGGAGCTCCCGGCCGCGGAGGGCGCGCCGGAAGTGGGCGGGGCCCAGGCGCGATGCTTGGGCTGTAACCGCCCTGCCGAGCAGACTGGGAGGGGCCAGAGCTCGACGGGGGAGGAGTGGGCGGGGCTAGGGCGCTACGCCTGCGCCTGCGCCCTTGGGCTGGCTCTTCGACGCCAATGAATCGCAACAGCTTCCTCAAGCGTCACCGCTGCCCTGTCTCTAGCCCTGGAAAGGCAGTTTAGAGTAAGAATGGGTGCGTTTTACATTTCTTTGAGCCTGCACACGTTGTCTCTGGGTCGTGACAACCTTAGAAACAGCGTACGTGCCTAACGTTCCAGAATAATCTTGTGGTCCTGAGAGACAACCAAAGTTCTTTTCCGAGGAAGGTAAGAAGCAATAGGAAGTCCGCTTGGAGTCTTGGCCACAGGGCTTGGGATAAGTCCCCTCTCGTGTTCTCGCCAGCCATGGCAAATATTTGCCATCGCACGGATATTACAATGCCTGAAGGGAGCCTTGACGAAGAAAACTCTTAAGTTTCTTCGTTTTTGTAATTCTCTGGCCCTAGCAGAGGAGGTTCTCAACTTTTGGTTAAATGGGGGGAGTAACATATGTTGCAGTGTATCCCAACGTGCTTAAACAGACCAATTAAAGTCAGTTGGTGGACTCATTAAGTGAAAACCACTAAGCAGTCTTCCACTTCAATATAGTAATTCAAAAAGCAAACGTGTATTGGAAATGAGAGCGTGCCACGGAAGTGGGTATTGGGTTGAGTGGTAGCTATGAAGAACGTTCCAGGGAAGTGCAAGTGGACACAGTGGGCACAGAACAGGAGAATTGGGCCTGGGCTTAAGTAAAAACAAATGTGAAGAAGACAATGGCATTTAAATGGAGTGGGTTCCAGAAAGTGTTAGGGACTCCTGTGGGGAGATTCAGTGTGAAACAGTCTGGCACTTGTTCGGAGCTAGATCTGCTGAAGTGAGGTAGGGAGACAAGCAGAACTCCTCAGTGAAGAGGACTGGACAAAGGTGAAATGGGGGTGAGATGGGAGGACTAAGGGAGGCAAGCTGGAAAAGGTCTTTTTAAAAAAACTACCCAGTAGAGCTGGGGAGTATAGCTTACTTGGTAGAGTACTTGTCTAACATGCAGAGTCCTGGGTTTGATCCCCAGAACCACATAAGACCCTGCCTGAGGTGGATCTCTGTGAGTTCAAGGCCAGCCTGGTCTACAAACTGAGTTCCAGGACAGCCAGAGCTGTTACACAGAGAAACCCTGTCTGGAAAAAGCAAACCCAAAACCCCAGCCTGTTGGCACCCATAATCTCAGCATTTGAAAGCTATAGGAAAAAGGTAAGAGGTTCAAGGGCATCCTTGAGCTTAAACGGAATTTAGGGGTACCCTATGCTACATGAGAACAGGTGGATTTAGAGTAAGATCTGTATTTATCATTCAAGTACCTGCACTTAAGACAAATGATTGTTGTGTTGAGAAACCACGCAATGTAGGTGGAAAGCAAGTCCTCTGGGAAAGTGGCTCTAAGTGAAACACTGGGTGTGTAAATCCATTGCATGTGGAAGATAAAAACTACTTCCAGTTCTAACTATGATCTCAACCTCAACGCCATGGAGGTCAGGTTAAAGCAAAACACAGATAATATGGGGGAAATTTTCTTCATTTTTTAATTTACAGCAGAAAGAATATAAAGCATTCAGAAAACATTTTCCATATTTTAAGGGCAATTCAAAACATTTTGCATGGTTTCCAGCAGCTGAGTTCTTCAACAGATCCATTGACTCAATGATGCTTTACATGCACAATTACAAAAATAAAACTTACAAAAAAGAAGACATCTAGACTAATTTTACATGCAAGTCTCAGGGACCCCCCATTGGGCGCCAACTACTGTGTGGAACTGCCATAAGCGACCGTGCAGCCAGAAAGGGGTTCGTCGTAATGTCTTTATTTCATTCACACAGTACAGCTGATTTTGAATGGGTAACAAGGATAGCAATTAAATCTTCAGGAGACAGAATAAGGTTAGCTATTAATTTTATAATGAAATCCTACTCCTGGCACTTGGGAATTCAGATTATCCAAGAAAGCTGCGCCTACCTATCACCTTATATTCAAAATTAAGTGTCACAATCAAAAAAGGTGGTCAGAAATGCTTTGTTTCAGTGGAAGTACGCTTCGACCTCACCTAGAATTCACAGTTGTACTGGTAGGTTTTGACCCTACTTCTGTCCCCTCCATAAGAACTTCCTAATTCTACGTAAGTCTCTATCTTCCAGAATTTTCTAACTTATTGAGCTATAATGTGGCATGTGAAACATTTAAAAAAATAAATGTGAGGGTTGAAGCAAATCCACTGAGGTCATTACTCTGGTCACAGGATCAGTTATCTGAACCATAAGCAATGGAGTAAATGTATCCAAATCCAGTATTAATATAGGATATTCTGAAAGAGCTGGCTTCACATTCTATTCCCTGTTATGAATACAATTATGTTTTTATAAATTGTCCTCAGACAGGTCAAACTGTGTCAAATAATAGGTATGGGGGGTAGGGGCAAGGATTCCAACAGCGGCAACATAACCCACACATGTAAAAACAAAATCGGGTCAGGTCAGCTTACAAATGTACAGGTGGCTGCTAGTTGTGGGGCTGTCACTGTTGTCCGCGGTGATCACGAGCAGAGAGACGTACACTGTACAGTAATCTGAGGTTGGCAGTGAAGGGAGTAATTAAAAAACAACTACGATTATAGAAAAGGCACCAAGAGCACTGACCCCAGTGTTGTTTTTAACCACAATCTTTTTGTTTCTAGCTTCCTTCTGAAGACACCAGTTTAAAGCTTATTTGTGAATATTTTTAGGCTTCACAGCAAGCCTTGAGTTTAACTCACAGTTGGCAGCCAGAACCATGTTTTTGTTTTTTAAAGAAAATCTCATACCAACCAATTCTCACACTTAACCTGGGATTTTAAACTGGCATTAGCAAATGCAAAATTGGTTCTCTCTGTTTGACATTAATAGTTTAATTTAAAAAGCATCTGTTTCTTTGGCTCCTCTTACATGGAAAGAGTACTACACCACGGCATCCCTTCAACACCAGCCTCCATGGTTTCTCACTTTTATTTCTTCATGTGAGCAAGTTTTTATTCATTTTTTGATTTTCAGCAGGAAATATGAAAATGCCTTTTTTCTAATTTCACACTAATTCTTTTGTCAAAATTTTAATTGTTCTAATGTTCTTTATTGGTGTGAGCGGATGGTGTTAAGTTCTGTAAGGATTCATCTTATGATTATCTATTTTGCAAAAGTAACTTAATTTTCTTAAGCAATATTAGCATTCACATTACTTGGCACCTTTGGCAAAAAAATTTTTTTAAATAAAATAAAATAAACTCCTGGTAGCCAAAATTAAATGTAAACATATCCTTTTTTTTTTAAAGTAATGCTACTCTGCCTTTTTTCCTATTTCTAAATACAGTAGCTCTCTTTTATTTTTTGCAGGTTAGTCATGCTTTAGCAAAATGTTCTTCTACAGAACATTTAAAATAAAGTACTCTTATAGTGAAATAAAGTTTTTTTTGTTTCATTTTACAGACCATAGCCACTAACGCTTTGCTTTTGTTCTTTTTCTTGATTTCATGCACATCTTTGTTTTAATATATACAATATATACAAACAATACATCCACATTGTTCTCGCTCATTCAGACAAAACTATACAAATAATTTCATCTTGCCATCTTATTGACCTTTGTGAATAAAATATTTAGCAATTAATATAACCCCTTTCAAATATTTTCTCGCTTTTTTTTCATTTCTACCTTTTATATGTACACAGAAGCCACTCCGTTTGGATGAGATAGAGCCAAAACATGGAATTTACTGGCCAAAATGCAGCACCACACTGGTCGTTTAGGTGGCAAATGTCCAGGCAAGGTTTATGATTCCTTGGAATTACTACGGTTTCCAAGGTTACTAAAAAAGGCTACATGCGTTACCAATTCTTAAGTAATTCTCACTGCAAGTGAAAGTAAGGCAAACAAATTAAAGTGCTGAACATGAGAAAAGGGACGAGATGATCACTATCCTCGCAGGTCCTTGGGAGGTGGTGGGGACAAGAAAATGGATTTAAATTCTGTAAGCTGTTTCTCGTTATTTCCCGTGCATTACCCATTTACCACACACCCGCCCCTCTGCAAATTTTCACAAAACATTGAAAACCTGCAGATGTTAAAAGTTGCATTAAGTGTGCTGTAGAGATTCAAACAAACGAACAAACAAACAGGAAAAAGAAAAACGAAACAAAACAGCGAAGGAAATGAGAACACACAGACTCAGTAATGACTCGGGTGATCTAAGCCCTCCACTGAGAACCAAAGATTCAGCTTCTTGGAAGTAACCGAAGGTGCAGGCACAGCACTCCTTGTGTTGCTAGCCTCGCCCCACCTGTTCTTAGCTATATTTTTGGTATAAATATTTGTACAGTTCCACACGATGTTTGAATACAGCCCTAATGACAAGGAAAGTGGCTTCTTCCTAAGATGAGGAAGCCCTTCCAGTTCCTCCTGGTGTCTTGTTTTCCTGTGATCCAACAGAAGATTGAGTTCCAAGATGTCTTGCTGATCAAATTAAAAGTTGTCCATGAAAGTGCAAATGCAATGACCAAAACATTCTTGTTAAAATCCTGCAGCTGACTCCCCAAAACTGCAGAGGGATTGTGTGTGTGTGTGTGTGTGTGTGTGTATGTATGTGTGTGTGCACGCGCATGTTTGTTGTTGTTGCATGTCTCTGCTAAAAACAAATGAAAACAGTCTGAGAAGCAATATCACATTGCTAAGGGATGCTGCTGTATGTCTTCAAGTTCCTTGGCCTTTTTCAATTCTTTCACTCTGGAAGAGAAACAAAACACAATACCAGGTGATAACTACAGAGTGAAACTGTGACCAAATAAAGGAGAGGGCTGACACCCCAGAAATGAGAAGCCCAGACAAGCCCCTTCTGAAGACTGACAACAAGAAAACTCCAAGAGGAAGATGTGAGCCTGTGTTAAACATGGAAAGTTTTACATGGAGTGCTCCAAGAGCAGAAATAAGCTATTTGCTCCCTTGTGCTTAATCAAGAGTGATACTCAAAGCTTGGGAATGTTTAATTATTTGAGGAATGTCTTCCTCTCTCTGATGGACTGTTACAAATGCCCCACAATTCCTAGGGAATTGTGTAAACTAGAGAATTGGCACACACCTTTATTTAGCTGTAAGTAGATCAGGGACTGAATCACTGTTTTACTCCTAGACTCCAGACTGCTGGCTACCTTGAACCTGACCCAACTTACACCAAGTTCCTCTTTCCCACTCCCCTATATTACCAAGTCTTGGATCTTCATAATTCGTGGTTCCCTCCCATTCCATACTATAACTGTGAAGTTCATGTTCCTTCTCAGAGCTCCAGGGAGGATAGCAGTAGGATCAGTACCAAAAAGGGATTTTGTTCTACTTATCAGAAATACTAGAGTAAACAAGTTTAACAAGGACACTCGTGGAGGGCTCAAACCAGCAATCTGTTAATTGCCTCTCCAATCTACACTTAAGGTAAGGATTTGCCATCACAAACGTGGTGCCCGAAGAGATAGGGTGCATGGGAAGAGCTGCAGGTTCTAAGAGCATCCTCTGCACACTGCAATGGCAAATGCACTCATGGCAGAACGGTCGAGTGCAAAGCAGTGCTTGCTGTGCCGGGCAGTCTGCAGATCTGCTCCCCAGAAGTCTGCATGAGAAAACCAAGAGTTTCTAAGGACTTCCCTACATTGCCCCAGTGACAGAACAAGAAAGCATCAGATTGGCAGTGGGCTTATTCAGAAGTCAGCCAAATGTGGCCTCTGATTCTGTCCAGGGTCTCTCCAACTGTCTATACCAGTCCATTAAAAGTTATTCAAGATGAGTGCTACTATCTTCTAAACACACTTAATAAGACTCAGGCAAATAGGAACATTCTTGGAAACAAAATAAAGTACTGCTGTATTTATTGGAAATGGATGGAAAGGAATATATATTCTAAGAAATTAAAGAACTTTCATATTTACAACCTTGAAGCAGAATCATTTCTTAGTACTGTGAAACCCTGATATGATCTCTTCAGAGAGAGAAGATGTACTCTTTTGGAAGAAAAGCTTTATCCTTTATATTAAATCGCTGTTACATATGAAAACTTGCTTATTTAACTTAATATACCAAACCTAGCTTAGTATGGGTTATTTATATAAATGGAGTGTGATCCCCAAACTGTCTTGTCCATCTTTCTTAAAGCTATTTTTTTTTTTTTTTTAGACAGGGTCCTTCTGTGTAACCCTGGCTGTCTTGGAACTCTCTCTGTAACCAGGCTGGCCTTGAACTCAAGAGGTTCACCTGCCTCTGCCTCCCCAGTGCTTAGCTTAAAGGTGTGCACCATCACCATCTAGCTTAATATTCATTTAACAGTTAAGGATACCATAGTATATTAGATCCTAGGATGTGGCATCATGTTGCAGTATAGAATTGTGTATGATTACAGGCCCCTATTTTTGGACATGCATACTTGATAAATGGCTTCTTAAAAATTGAAACATGCTATAGGTTGGTGTTCAATTTTTAAACATGCAGCATCTAGACTAACATCCCTTTTGGCTGGAACAATGCAAGGCATGCATAGATGCCAACCTCACGTCCAGACATGCAGTTCTGTGCTCACGCAGATCCATCTGCCAAAGTCCTGTAAGATGTGCATGCTATGTCAAATACCACGTTTTGTCTGTGCATTAGCACAGAACTCATTCATAGCATCACTGCTGAGACTTCTAGAGTTTCAGAATCTGATAGCACCACCCATAAAGACAGCCCTTCTAGAACCATCAGAAATGCTTTACACACATTGAGTTCATCACTGATGTGAAATAAAAAGGAGAGTGAAATGTTTTAGGCAACTTCATATCAAAGAATCTATAACCAGTTCATCAGGATAGACATAGTAAAGACTATTCATCTAGTTAAACTGGTCACATTTGATTTTGCAGTCACCCCCGACTCCGCCACCGACTTCTTTTGGAACTAATGTCAATTAAGTTTTCACAAAAGTTTAAATTAATGCTGAAGTAATTATGAATTAGTGATGTTCTCACAGACCACTAAGAAGGGGGTGTGTCCACACACAGACATCTATATGGGAAAACTGGGAACATTCCAGTTTTTAGGTATGTTAATCTCATCATGGAATTCTCACACTATCCTGGGACATAAGCGACGTCAAAGGAGTGAAATGCCGTAGAACTTTCCTTTACACAAATGTCTGCTAAGGGGTGAACTAGAGAAACGGGAGTGTGGAGAAAATCTAATCATACTCCAGTGTCATCAAAGGTTGCTGAAAACCCGTGACCTTATAGTGACTGTATTCTAACAGTCATTCTCTCTAATTTATAACTGCAGAACGTGATTCATAGGAATCAAGCAGGCTGCCTCAACTTGTGTAGCTGATAAATGACAGAGAGCAGTTTGAGCCCATGTCTGTTTGACTTCAAAGCCATTCTCTTCCACTTCAGTGCTTCTAACAGACAGGTTTTTAAAAATTCCTCCTATGTTGTTTATTCCAAAAGACTTTAATAGGAAAAATAAATATGAAGAAATACTATAACTTTGGATGGAATTGAAAGTGATTGTTTCCTCCATTCTAGGATAGCATCCTCCATGAAGTGCTGTATTGAATTTAATTACAATGTTATGGGGGGAACACCCTCATACAAAATGCCCCTGTTGTAACAATTCTGGAACCCTGAACCATGCATAAAGAATATGCCTGTAATCCCAGAAGACAGCCTGCCATGCTAGACAGACATGCCCTTTTGATACCAACTCACCCGAGACAGCAGGAAACAGACCTGTGCCACCTGTCCTACTGACATCACAAAGGGGCTTCACAGCATTTGAGCAGATAACAAGATGGAATAGGTGTCTACGTTTTCCTTTAAATCAAATACCAGGCAGATAAAGTCATGTATTCAAGTTATATTGCCTCCAAAGAAAGTTTATACCTCTAAATTGATTTTGGATGATATCTGAAGTAATTGAATTTTTCAACAAATTCTAAGAAATGGAAATTTCAAGTATTTCAAATTTTTTTTACAAAAAAAATCAATATTGCCTTATTAGTCACAGACCTAGATAATCACTAAACCTTTATCAACCAGAAAGACGTGAAGTTTAACAATCATGTCTGTGTCTTCCTCCTTGCTCATGTGTTTATTCTCCATGAGCGACAAGAGATACGTGTTTCTACATTAACTATCATGCCTGTTTAGCATTCTTTAAGATGTTTCTTTAAATTTTTATTTTAGTGCATGTGCGCACGCAGGTACGTGCACATGCCAAGTCCAGAGGGCACTTTCAGGAGTCCATGTTCCCCCTCTATCATAAATTCTGAGAATCCAACTCCAGTGAGTGCAGCAGGAACCTCTACTCACTGAGCCGTATCACTGGCCCTAAATGGTTACTAACAACTTCATCTTATAAATGTGTTCATATAACAGAAACTAAAAAATTCAGTGGAAAAATAATTCATTTTTGTTTTACTCAAACCAGAATCAAATGTCTGAACCATTTTGCTTGGTATCTCCTGTGCTCTAGACAGGTTCAGTACATGAACTTGGTAAACATAGGCCTGAATTTGTGAAGTTAGATTCCTAGCTGAAAATGCAGAACTTGTGTTTACTGCCCAGACAGCTTAGAGCGCAGGTACTTAGTCAACCTTGTGCTCACAGCAGCTAAGGATTGCTGAGGTATGGGTTTTCTTAAAGAATTACAAATACGAGGCTCATACAGTACTAAGAAAGAAGTGCCTATTATCTAGCTATCTATGAATGAATTGTACTTGTTTCTGAATCCCATTACCCAGAAGACAGGCAAACTAGTTTTCCATGTCAGACTACAGACAAATACAGGACAGAAGCTACGGTTCTTATAAGGGCAATAGGCATTGTTTGTTTCCTTTAAGGAGAGCTATAAAAACCACATTTCTATTTTTAATTATGCACATGTGTGCATGTCTATGTGAGGCATATGCACAAAAGTGTAGATGCTCTCCCCTGGAGCTGGAGCTACAGGTGGATGCCATGAACCCAACTTCCATCTTCTGCAAGAACAGCAAGTGTTCGTAACCACTGAACCATCTCACCATGCCCAGGACTGTATTTCTGACTCTCCTATCAGTAATCTGGAAGGTACTTCGGCTAGCTTGGAGGTACAGAAAATCAGGACATGAAGCCTTTGAGTTGTGATCTTTCAAATATTAACATTACCAGAAAAGCCCACGATTTTTTTCGAGCATTCTAGGCTGTAAATAATTGACACTCTGAGATACCATGACAGTACAATCTCAACTACAAACAGAGAGAAAGCTGCATTATAATGGACTCGAGTAATGTAAAAGCAAAGCCCTGAAAGCCAGCAGAAGCCCACAGGGTTGACTCCATCAGATGTCTAGTGAGAATTCATGAATAAATGGAAAAGGCCTGCTTCAGAAACCCTAGCGAACAATGGTCCATGGGAAAAGCGTCAGGCAAAGCCGCTCAGCCAGAGAAATGCTTCATGAGTCAGTGGCTTTCAGCAGGCAGAGTCTCACGGTACTGGCCGTCAAAAATCCACAAGGCAGCCTGATGCTGCTTTCTAGTTAGTTACCTGTTGCTCTCAGGGCTGCAACAGCTTGTGGGGGATTTAGGAAAAGAGAGATCTTGCCATATTCCAGAAATCTCATTTGGATTGCAAAATAAAAAAGACAGAGAGGCCCAATAAGAATGACAGAGAGCATGTTGTCTGCAATTTAACACACACCACTGTGTTCCAAAAATATTCATTTCCTAAAAGAGGCAAGTGAGACACAATTACTTTGAGATTCATGACACATTATTCCACATTCATTTCTGACTTCTTGAATGCACGGGGACACTTGGAATCCAAACCTCATGCCTATTTTACTAAAGATTTAGCTAACACGTGTGTGGGCCCTTGACCAACTGTTGGCCTTTCTACAGCAGTACCCTTTCAAGTGGGGTCAGAAAATGGTCCCTTGGATAAAAGGACACAGCAAAGCAAATGCTGGTTTGTAACTTCCAGAAGCTGGTAACAACCTGCTGCAAAAAGGAAAGGGTTTAAAACCCAGTTCTCAAATACAGGAAAACCTGTGGCCTAAATATTTGTGATTGAACATGTTACCTCTTCTTCCTCTAAGAGAGACTGAGACCTGCACCCGCCTTTACTGAACATGAGCAGAAAAGCAGTCATTTCCAAATACAGGTTATTAAATGCCACAGGGATCATAGCCCTCCTTGACTGTGGGGAAAGGAGACACCTGTCTAGGAAATACCGAGAATGGCCTCCCTCATTTATGAGGGACACAAAAGGACTGTCCTCAAAACAGAAGAGCAAAACCAATCTGTATCTTTGTGTTCTCATGCATTTTCAGCCAATTATATCAACACCTTGAGGCCAAGTTGTTTCCTGAACAAGTATCTCAGTGGTTTGGCTATAAAACTGGGCAACACTATATGAGACACATCAGAAGTCCGTGTGGAAAATGGTACTTCCCCTATAGACCTTTGGAAATTTTCTTAAACCTTAACAGAAAACTAATGTATCTAAGAGAAGAAAGAAAGAAAACAAAGCCCCAAGCCAAAAACCTTCCCACAAGCTTATTAAGAAGTTGGTAACTCCATTTTCAGTTACTGGGTAAATCAGGAGGTAAGCCTGGGTGAAAGGCCAGACACAAATGACCTGCACTAGAAGGGTACTGGTGTCCTTTCTCAGACACAGAGGTAATTTTGGGTCACCCTGCAGCTGGGACGAGCCCGTGGTGTCCTAAAACTGCTGATGGTGGCGCCTACCTTTGTGGCGGTCCTTCTGCTGTGGACCTAAGAGTTTGGTCAACAGCATGGTTCACACTGCATCATGAAATTTAACTGTCCATTTCCATTACTTCTTAACACATAAACCTCTGACTGATTTTCTGTACTTTACAAACTAACAGAATAAGCATGTTATCCTCTTTGACATGCCATCCCAGGTATACTGAGGGAATGCTCAGCTCCCAAGGAGTTCCACTTGGGGACTACAAACGGGTGGGGGGGGGGGTTGCCACTGCAGGTTTCTGAGGAAGAGAGAGGGAGAGGAGATCTTATTGGCAACTGCAAAGCCATAGACAAGTCATTTCTCAATAAAGAGCTAGATAAATGGTCCCATCCCAGAAGGACCCTCAAACCCTCCTGACTCCTCTCTCTCAAGCTCCCTGACTGCGTGAGGCATGAGGGATGTTATGAAATTCCAGCTTCCCATGCATGAGTGGGAGTCTTCGAGTTCATGGCAGAATGCAGCAGGCACTAGAGAAATTAAAGTAGGGACTCCAGTTGGCACTGAGATCACCTTTAGAAAATGTGCTCTTGACAATGATCACCACTGACATACCCGAAACTAACAAGCTTCAAAAGTGCGTAAGCAACCACTTCTAATAAAAGGTCCGTTCCTTTCAGCAGGCTCTACGAACCGCATTTAACATGCAAGCTACTACCCCTGAGTTAAACTGAGTGCTAGGCCATGCACCTGTCTTCCTGGAGGGGTCGCTGTCATGTCTGATGAAAACAAGTGTTATCTGTGTATGCAGTGGATGAGGTGGAGCCTCGTCTACTTCAGGCACAGATATCTCCAAGAGGGTCTACCACATGGGACCTGAATGCTCTTTTCAAATGGTAAACAACTGTCTAACATTAGAGTGGGAACCGCTGAAGTTACCAGCATAGCTGGGTTTCTGGTTTTGTTTCCAAGTTTCTCCTTCAGCAGCTATTCATAGTTGGCTTGTTTTATTTCTGATTTTAAAGCAGTCACAACTGTTCTACACATAAGTCACTACTCAGGAAAAACCTATAAAAACTCATTGTCATATCAAGTTGGCAAGGCAGCAGCCTGTAGAGGCCGACAGAGGTAACCTCCATGCAACACCGATCTAGCGTCCTCTCAAGTGTTACATAAGAAAAAGTTACCAGAGTTTACTCAGGTTCCAGTCCAATGCTGTGAGCTTTATGAAGGTTTCCTGTGCCTTACAATGCATTTCAGCTGCACTTGCCGATGCTCCTGTGCCTATCTGCAAACTGGGATCATATTCTCAGACCACGGGAACACTGGCAATGTCTACTGCCTACTAGTCAAGACACTGTCTTTAAAACACAAATGCTTCTGGAGCAGCCACTCCCAGATGTGACACGAATCTCTCAGCTCAGATCGCTCACATGTTTTCATCGGTAACTGCAGTTCAGTGCTGACATCCAGCGAGCCTTTTGTGTACGCTCAGTGTCCTAGGCAGGCTCTGAAGGGCAGCGCCGTAGCTTCACTTTCCTCACAGCACAAGGGAAGAGTGATTTAAAAACTGAACTCTAGGGGCAGGGTGACAGGGAAGTAGTATCTATAAATAATTTTTTTTTTTAAAAAAGCCTAGTACTTCCTAATGGGCTTTTTTTGCCTAAGAAATTTTGAGAAAATGAAAGTTGGGGAAAAGATGTAGCCAGGTATTGTAATTACAAAACCACTTGCTGAATTTTCCTTGTAATACAGCTTCATGTAAGCAGGAAGACCTGTGTGGAAGGCACTCCACCTGGTCTGAGCATGCTGGGCAGTGGTCTCAAAAGGTCCCTCCCTCACACTTCCTCATGCATATGAACCTCTACCTTAAGTGACTGCTCTCCTGTTGCATAAAACAGCAGTGTTAGTAGTCAGGGTTAGTTTGTATTTTATTTTTCATTCAGAATGGATGTGAAACTTACTGGCAAACCTACGCTGCAGCCCCATGCAAGCAAGCAAAAAGCAAAATATTGAAAATGGAAGATAAGGGTAAACTGGCTAGCAGGCAGCTAAACTCACCCTTTTGTACAGCCTATGGTCCACCAGGGGGCTTTAGACAGTAAAACAACACCAGAGAGCTATTAGCATGTGAGGGTCACAGCAGAAATCTTAGCAATAGCTTTATGTCAACCAGAGACTACCAAGTGTTTTCTTCAGTGGGGAAGGAAGAGAAGGGTGATGGCAGGGGATATGAAATGAGCAGGAAGAAAACCCATCAACTTGCTTTTAAAAACCATTGGGGGTCAAATGATTTAGAAATGGGACACCTGCCGATTTCTGAGGCCACTGTCTACCTACCTTGTTGAGAGGGTACCACGAAGTTTTCTATTTAATATAGACTGTAATGCTTCTAACAGACAACAACCATGACAGTGCTGCTCCTGAAAGCAGTGCTAAGCAAACCAGAATGGTCTGCACACATCCAGGGAAAACACAAGTTAAAATAACCCTCAGGAGAGAGGTCCAGGGCTTCGCCATGTTCCTTAATGAGATGCTAAATGAACACACAAAAATGGAGAGTAATACACACTTCCCAGCCAATATGCAAAGGCTCCTGCTGTTGGCTTGTACAATTTTCTATCATCTGAACCACAGAAGGCCAACAAAAGAGCAACAGTCTTTATTTTGCTGCAAACTGTGAGCAGACACAGCCCCAAACCTGATGCTCTCTTCACAGCAGACCTTGCCAGCCCCACTGGTTAGAGCAGAAACTCAAGACAGGTGAGACATTCGGCAAATTCTTCCCAGCAGCTCAGAGGTAAGAGCAGGGTTCCTCTGTCCAGCCTATGTTAGGAAGCAGCCTTTTATGCAATCATATTTTCAATATCTTACTCATATTCAACTCGCCTACTGTAAACACAGACCACACCCTCAGAAGGAACACACACTGGAAACTCAGTGCAGGGTTTCAGGTAGCGTTGCCTACACTCCTTTTCTCACGTGCATCTGAACTCAACACAGCAGTTTAACCTTCAAATGCTTTTGGAAATGGCCTCAAGAGCAGCGTCAGGGTCTGGAGCAGATGAACCAGCCTCATCAAGTAGAGCAGTGACTGCATAGGGGTTAAGTCTACCAGTCCCTGTGCTGGACAGTCTTTTGGGGACTCTCATTCTACAGGCAAAAGAAGGGGGGGGGGGGCAGTGACCACGTGAGGGTATAAGAAAAAGAACCTAGGGAGTTCAAGGTATTTTACCAACTGAAGAAACTCAGCTGTCCTACCAGGTTGTGAGCGCACAACTGCTAACTGAAACACAAGGCGTAACAGCAGACAGGAGAAGGACTCTGGGAAAACATGCAGAATCACTTTCGTTATGTGAAGAACACTCTATAGTTTACTATCCCTTTCCTGCCAGGACTTCCTCAGTCAGCTTATTCACACTGGTATTTCATGTGCTAGCTCCTGGGGCAGGAGTAGGAGAGGGTGGTGGTGGTGGTGGAGGTGAAACCTTGATCCAAGGCAGGGAAGACAGCATCCAGGGGATGTACCTGATGTCCCGTGTTCCATCTAGAGACTGTCTGGCATCTTAACACTTACTCTTTAAGGTTTTATGCATATTTCTTTCTATAGTCACACAGATGTGTGTATGTGTTGACTTAAGTAAGAGTTTAAGTTCCCAGTTAAACTTCAAGCAAGTCTCAAGGGCAAAGTATTTTCAAATATTAGCAACTTAAATGGTTTTAAGAGTAAGAAAAACTGAAGTGAAAGCTCTGACATGAAACTGAATGCAAGGCTTTCGGGATGGATCAACAGCAGAGAGCAGGCAGCAGGGAGCCAGCTCGAGTCTGCTGCTCTCACACGCACAGCTGCTGGTGCCTGGGAAACCATGGAGGGGAGTCTCAGTGCAGCGCCAGCGGCCACTGTTAGACTCCTGACTTCATCTACGGAGAGAAAGCGAGGCTCTTCTCCAGCCCCAGAAGTCTGTCTTCACCAAGAAAGCTCCCATCTGAGGAAAGCCTCCTCCAGCATGGCTCCATGAGAAGATGCTCTGTCCTCTGTGTTCCCTGCCCTCACCTTGGACCAAATCAGACTGGCTCTCTGTGGTCAACTGAATGGAAATACTATCTTCTACATGTCCAGCAGAGGGCACCAACTGCTTAGTGGAACTTCCACAGGCAAAACACTAGATGGCATTTAAGCGTCTTTTTTCTTTTCTCCTTGATTTTCTGTGTGGATGTCTATTAGCAGAGTAATGCGAACTGGCATATGAGTTAAAGAGGTTAAAGAGAAATTTGAACTAAAAGCTAAGTCCAAGTAAATTACATGCACGCCCAAATCAAAACAGGAAGACATGGTTTTGGGTCTCCATGGTCAGACACACACACCTTCTCAAATCGTTCCAGCCCAAGTGGCGGTGCCTAGAGTTCCACCACCCTGGTATGACTGGAGTGCTTACCCCACGCTTGCTGGAGGTCACTAGCACTACACAGAGCCAGCCAATGGCTAGGAAGGTCAGGGCTGTTTGGTTACTATTGATGAGCACAGTGAGAGATAAGGACTTGGTGTACCTGTGACGACAGCGACGTAGAAACCTCATTATTTTTCGAGCAGCTTGGTCCTGCTTTTTGGTCAGCAAACTGCTCCTGAAAAAGCCAAAACATTATCGTCACAAGAAAGGTTCCATAAAGCTTATAGCACAGACACTGAGAAGTGTTCTGATTTACAGGCTAGGAGACTTCCAGTTAAATGGTTTGTGTCACACGTCCAACTGCGAAGCACACGCTGCTCCCACAGTGACTCTCCCATGCCTTTGTTTTCTGTGTCTGAGGCAGTGGCTCCTGTATCTCAGGCTGGCAAACCCCCAGTGATTTTCCTGCCTTCATCTCCCAACTGCTGGGACTATAACCATGTGCTACCTTGACCAGTTACGTGATGTCGGATATGACCCCAGGGCTTTGTGCACGCTAGGCACAAGCACTCTGCCAAAAGAGCTATGGCCCTCTCCCAAGCTTTAAGGAGGCAATATGAAGATTAAAATCCAGAGGATACCTCCATATGCTCTTACAACATATGTCTGTCTGTCTGGGGTAAGACAGGGGTTTGCTGTGTAGGCTAGGCTGGCCTCTAGCTCATGATCCCCGACGCAGCCTCTAGAATTTTGGGATTACAGGTGTGTACCGCCATACCCAGGTCTTTCCCAGTTGTTTTCTTTTGGTGGAAATAGGCCTTCTGGCAGTAGCCAGACCTCCTCAGTGCAGGAATGAAGTCGTCTGAGCTTGATACTCTCTTTAGGCTATTTTCTGTTTTTAATCTTCAGGCTGCTACTCTCTCAGATATAGTCACCGAGCTTTAAGTACTCTTTCTAAGTAATTAGTGAGTTCGGAACACTGCAGAATGATGCCTCGTTAAGTATAAAATTTAGTTTTGACACATTTTAACTTATACTGAAGTTAGCCAGTGACATTCAAGTAACATGTGGCAGTTACAGAAAGGATCTCAGAGAGAGAACAACACAGGTATTGCTAGACAAAGCCACAACACCTGGAGTAGCTGGAAACGGAGCTGCTGCCGCGTCTCAGGCCCTGAACCATGCCAGGCAGGTCTTCCCCCGCGCCCTGCAGACATGTGACCCACCTAAGCTTTTGCTGCACGATGACTGCTGTCCTGCGGGCTGGCCGTCTCCTGCCACACTTCTTGTAACTCCGGTAGAAGTTCTGGATCAGCACTGCAGCTCGCCGGCTCTGCTGGAACCGTTTCTGCTCATAGTAACTTCGGAATTTGCTCTGGATGAGGATGGCCGCCTGGGTCATCTTTTTGTAAAGTGCATACTGCAGGGGACACAGAAGGAACGGGACAATAACAACGGGAGCCAAAAGTCCTCTGAGCTCAGGAGGTAAGAACCCCTCCTTCCTACTCTCATCTTTGATGGGGCTGACTCCAAAACTCCAACAGCTATCTTCCATCTAGTCTTCCAAAATAGAATGAACCACTTTCAGGACAGCCTGCAGGCAGCACGGCCCTTTCATCCTCAGACAGCATCTTATTCTGCCTCTTCTGACGATTTCTAGTATATTTAAGACACTTGAGTCCAAAACAATTAGAATGTAACATTTAAGCAGTGTTTTAAGATGAGCATTTGCTATCCAATTGGATATTGCTTTAACCCTTACTATGCCTCCTGACTCTACTCATTCTGTGCCACCTAGCAGTCAGCACCTCTTTCTAACCAATTTGCTCCATGCCAAGTTTCTAACGGAGCTACAAAGTCCCAAAAACAAGGCTTATCATGAAACGCTGACACCTTTAAGCCATTTCACCCTGCAAAAGATTAATACTCATTAGACCCACACAGTGGCCATGCAATGACCTTGGAAGGCTGCCAGAGTTGTGAGCTGCTTAGAGGCCAGTGGCAGAGGCCTTCAACCCAACATGCTCCACAGCCACAGCCCAGTGACCAGGCCTGCTTCTCAACCAGTCTCAAGTTTCTGACACAGTGAAGTCACATGAAGAAGGCAACTTACTATTATAAGGGGACAAACTACTCAGAACCCCACCCTCCATGCCTAACTGCATCCTTAGCTGTGCCATAACACAAGGGAAGGAAACTGACTTCTCAGAATGTCCAAAAAGCAAATCACTCTGATCTCTTCTGACATGCTTTACATCCACTTCCACCCAACCAAAAGTCCTTTAAGGTAAGAACACTGCATCCTACAGAGCTTCTCCGAGTCTCGTCACTTTGGCCTGACGATAGAGCATGTTCTGATCCTTGGGATCACCGTGAAGCCCACCACAGAAATACGGTATTTGCTTAATATTCACGAGGTTCAAAGTCACTGATCTGGTGGACTGGCCTGGTCATAAAAATGTCTACCTACTATCAAAGCGCAAGCCAAGTCTACTAGAAAATTCACAGGTCCCCAAGGATAGATGTGGTATGACTAGGTGGTCTGGCAAAGAATGTGTGTTTGGTGACGGGTGTGCAGTCTGTGACTCTGGTGGAATGGTCTGTGAGAGGACTGGGTATAGCATTACCTTCAAGGCTATCCATGTCAGCTTGGGGAGAAACAGAAAATACAATACCGTTAGATTACCGAATACAGGAAACAAACCAAAACCCAAAATCAGTGCAGCTCCCAACCAAAACCAAAACCAAAACCAAAAAAAAGGCAGCCTGGCTATATTACTGCCTTCCGCCTTCTAAAATATCAGTCTCAAGTGTCACCATTTCCAAAGATAACCCCTTCCATCTCCCTAGCCGCAGGTGACATTCAGCAGCTTGCTTTCTTTCTTTCTTCTTTTTGGAAGTACCTGTTGTCATCACAGACTTTAACCCTCCCATCTGTGTGTACCATCTATTGCTAACCTGAAGCCTGTTCACTGATCTGAGACATAGGGCTGCGGTGTCAGCGTTTGCACAATAAACCTTCAGTGTCTGGGATCTCTGACTCAAGAGCTAGTCCTTGTTTTTCTGCCCACTGACAAAGTCTAAAGGAGAAGCTTGAAAAACAAAAGAAAAAAACCCCAGCAATTCACATTAGAAACTAAAATTCTAGGTCTGAAGAACAACATGGGGCCCCAAATTTCTCTGCAATTATTATACATCTTAGTATAATACCCTTTATGTAGAATGCAAAGCTTAGCCAAAACCCAATAAAATAAGGCATTCTAAATTATTCTACAGAACTGACAGCGTGTGTGTACATGCCTGTGCATGTATTTGTGTGTGTGTGTGTGTGTGTATAATAGTGAGTCCAGGATGGCCTTGAACGTGCGATCTTGGTCTTTGAATGCTGGGACTGGAGGCTTGTGCCACTGTTCCAAGTAATATGACCAAATTTCAACATAGAAACTGGTCTAAACTTAATAAGGAAAGTTTCAGTATTTTGTTTTATTATTTTTTAAAAGATTTATTTATTTATTATGTATACAGTGTTCTGCCTGTGTGCACACCTGCAACCCAGAAGAGGGCACCAGAACTCATTACATTGCAGAATGCTGTGAGCCACCATGTAGTTGCTGGGAATTGAACTTAAGACTTTTGGAAGAACAGTCACTGCTCTTAACCACTGAGCCACCTCTTCAGCCCAATTTTCAGTATTTTATAACCACCTCGGTATCTATAAACTAACATTTCTCTGAGCCTGCTTCTTCGTCTGTGAATGGAAATAAAACTCTCTGCTTAGAGTAGCTATGAGAGGGCTATGGTGCTCCTGGAAGATGGGCATGCATACCCTGCCCCTCGATGCAGCGCGGCTACCCCACAAGCTGTACTGTGCAGCTACGAGGGGGCTGTGGTGCTCCTGGAAGATGGGCATGCATACCCTGCCCCTCGATGCAGCGCGGCTACCCCACAAGCTGTACTGTGCAGCTACGAGGGGGCTATGGTGCTCCTGGAAGATGGGCATACCTACACTGCCCCTCGATGCAGCGCGGCTACCCCACAAGCTGTACTGTGCAGCATGATCTCTGTGAGCAAGGCCTGCTGTCATTCGTGTCTCTGCTAACTAAAGCTTGGTGGCAGAATGCTGCTTTCTTTTCCTGATTCTTTTCTTCCTTTTTGTGATTTATTTATTATAAATACAGTGTTCTGTACTGCATGTATATCTGCAGGCCAGAAAAGGGCATCAGATCTCATTACAGATGGTTGTGAACCACCATGTGGTTGCTGGGAATTGAACTCAGAACCTCTGGAAGGACAGACAGTGCACTCAACTGCTGAGCCATCTCTCCAGTCCTTCCTTTGGTTTTTAATCAAAACAATTCAAATCAGGCCTTTGCTATCAAGAGTTGGATGTGGTGCTTTTAGCCAAACTGCACAGCAGCATCCTCTGAGGCCTGGGCAGGGTGGACAGGTGCTGTTTCCTCCTGTGACACACAGCTAAGTTTACCTGTTTGTACTTTCTGTAACAGCGCTGAATGACGGCAGCGGCTACTTCTTGCTGTTCCCGCAAGGGTCTGCCCTGAGAGGTAAAGTGAGGGGAGATCAACAACGGCTAACGTAAGAACTGTCTACACGTACAAGATTAAACCTTTACTCATGGGGTGAGCCTTTCCAAGAAATAAAATCCCAGGTTGACTAAACTGCATTGACAATCATCACTATGAATTAAGAAAAATGAAAACAAAACAAAATAAAAAGCTGGGTGGTGGTGGCACACGCGTTTAATCCCAAAACTCGAGAGGTAGAGGCAGGCGGATCTCTATGAGTTCGAGGTCAGCCTGGTCTACAAAGTGAGTTCCTGAACAAGATACAAAGCTACAAAGACAAAGCTACCCTGTCTTTGGGGGGGGGGGGGGGGGAAATGAATTTACAGAATAAATCAACTATTTTTGCTTTTAAAAATCAAACCATATTGGGTGTTAGGAGGTCTAAAAATATGTATTTAAGAGTTTTGTTTTGTTTTTTTTTTTTTTTAAACAAAATAGGCATTGCGACACTCATCGTCCAGGCTCTCGGCAGTCTTTCCTACATAATCCCCTTCTGTCCTTTAACACCTCTGGGCAGAGTGGTCAGACTCCTTTAGGGATATGCAGAAGGTGACTGAGTCCCACCTAGCTCCCAACCCCAATAAAAAGCACACACAGAAGTTTCAAGACCGAGTTCTCAGGGTTCAGGGGCTGCCCACAGTCCTCAGGGGCTGATTTATGATTTAGGTCATAAATCCCTTGTGGCTGGGGTGTCACTTATCAACAATAAGATAATGACAGCCGTCTCGCTGGCTTTATTTGACCAAAACTCCTGAATGTTATTATGGTAATAATACAACATAACATAAAGTCTTCCAATAAACATTTTATCAAACCACAAGCCACAGGGAAGAGGGACTGGGACGCAGACAGCCTTATTTTACCTTGTATTTCCGGAAGGCTGTCTGGACAAGCCTGGCAGCTTCGTAGAGTTCTCTCTGCTCATGGTCGGACAGCGTGAGCTGAGCAAGCTCATTCTCTACCTTCTCGCTGGTGGATGCGCTCAGGAATTCTGACCAGTCTGCTGCCGAGGGAAGGCTGGGTTTCTCAAAAGCCACTTCACTGACAGGGGAGCTTGCAGGGCTCAAGCTGGCATTAGAAGAAGGAGTTAGGGGCTCAGTGTACGCACTCCTGAAACAAAGGAAAGGACAAGACAGTTAACAGCTACTCGCACCGTCCATTACCTGCGAACTGATGAGACAGGACAGGATCTACCTGAAGCCACTCCGGCCAGTCAGATGCCTTCACTCTGTTTAACACACGCCAACACTTCGGCTGCACCTCAGTTACGTTCATACCGAGCCCCTATTATTAGTTCAGCACTGTGCTCAATACTAAGGCCAATAAGGACACTAGCCTGCCTCCAAGAGACTTCCCTTGAAGCAGGGTGTATCCCGGCATGGCGTTTTACAAACCTCCATGTGGGGAGCACATAATAGAGGAGAGAAGGCAGAGCCGCGGTTTGAAGAGGCGTGAGGCCACGTGCTCTCCTGGGAACGTCTCTTTACACCTGGCCTCCAGTTAAATCTCAGCAGAGAATCCCAGACCCCAAATCTTCCTAACCTGATGTGGGCAGCACTGGGCAGACGGTCAGCATCAGCTAGGTAACTGGCCAGCCAGCTCATTGTACTGCTAATGGTGGCGGGATCTGTTCTTTCCAGGGCTGAGGACTCCATGGGCACAAAGTTCTCCTGCTTGATTCGGTCTGGTGTAGCCTCAATAATGTGCTCGGCCAAGGTCATCATGTTCACCTGCAATCAGAGGCCACAGAACACAGAGCTCAGAAATCTTCAAACCCGTTTCACTGCCACCCTTACTTTGTAAAGGAGAATGGAGGCGGGGCAGGGAAGTGGGGGAGGACAGCCAGTTTATGCCTCAATCCAATGCATTCAAATAGCATTTAAAGTTAGTACGTGACTCACCCGGAGACCTGATTATCTCCTAATCATAGTTTGGCCTCACACCTTGGTCACATCTTAGAGAACTTCTGTCTTGGGCCCACTGTCTACTCTCACAGCATGAATCACTTATGGACCGACCTCATATTTTGAGAGGTGGGGGTGTTTCAGGTAAACCATCATTTTTTTTTTTGTTGTTTTGTTTTTGTTTTTCGAGGTAGGGTTTCTGTGTGGTTTTGGAGCCTGTCCTGGAACTAGCTCTTGTAGACCAGGCTGGTCTCGAACTCACAGAGATCCGCCTGCCTCTGCCTCCCGAGTGCTGGGATTAAAGGCATGCGCCACCACCGCCCGGCTTAAACCATCATTTTATGTGCCTGCATGTGTCTTCTACCATGTGGTCCTGGAGACCAAACTCAGGTCATCAGGCTTGAAGGCAAGCACCTTCACCTGCTGTGCTATTTTGTCATCCCTAAATATTCATTATTTTTAACTCTGTGTGTTTGTGTGCGTGTGCGCAGGTATGTCTGTGAGCATATGTGAGAACAGGCGCTCACAGTCCAGAAGAGGGTGTTGTATACCCTGGAGCTGGAGCTGTGAGGCACCCAGCACGGGTACAGGGAACCAAATTAAGGTTCTCTGCAAGATCTGTACTTATGACTGGAGATATGGTCTCATCTTTTCAAAATTCTTTACATACTTCTTAAAAATTAGAGTTAAAATGCAACAGTCTAGGTTCTCACCAGATATCCTGGCCTCCAGCAAGTGCATGTTCTAAAGGGGAGTTCACAAGGCCGGAAAGGCTGATCTCCTATCATGAAGGCAAAATTCTGGGACTGCAATCAGATGTGGGTGGGTGATTCAAGGGGACGTGGGAGCTGAGAAAGAAGCAAGGCTGACCTGAGACCTTTCTGATCAGCCGACAGCTATCTAAAGTTGGCTGAACTGATTTTACAATCAAAAAATCAGAACTCAAAAAACCCATTTTAAATGTTTGCTTAACGTAATTTTTCAAATTTACATCAATGAGCTACTGTCTATGACCGTCTCCAGAAAGCCTTAAGAGGAGAGAAGGATCCACCCTGAATGGATGGCGTTATCCCACAGGCAGGGGTCACAGGCTGAGTAAACACAGCGAGGAGCACCAGCACCCAGTCTTCTTCCTGACTACCCCTGCTGCCACGCCTCCCTACCATGATGGATATACGTTGAGACTGAACCAGAAATACCACCCCCCTTCCTTCATTCAGCTGGCTTCATTATGCCAAGCAGGAAAGTAATTAATACAGGTTCCAACAGGAATCGTCCACACCAAGGACTGGGCAGACTGTACCAGGCCGGGCAGAGCCAGCTGCCTGTTTGTGTAACTACAGCTTAGGCCACTGCAGCCCTGTGCATCCCTTCATTTTGTCCACGGCTACTTCTGTCCTCCTCCAGCAGATCAACAGCTACAAAGTGTCTGTGTGAACCACAAAGCCTAAAAAAGGTCACCAACTGTTTTTTGTCTAAAACATTATTTGACTAAGGCTGGGCACGGTGGGACACACATCTAGCCCCAGCTCCTTGGGAGGCAGAAAGGAGAGGATTGTAAGTTTGACGCCAGCCTGGGGAGCTTAATGAGACTAGGTCTTGAGATGAAATTTAAAAGGGGCTGAGGATTGTACTCAGGAGAGTGTTTGCCTAAACAACACTACGTGATTTAACTTGGCCGACATCCTCCTGGCTACACGGCTGTTGGTAAATCAGTGGTGGGGTCTCCTATCCACTAGTAGCAGGGTGCTAATAAGCAAGCATGTGTCCTTCACAGAAGCTCCCCCAGGGTGCAATGGTCAGCAATGACTCAGCAGTTACTTCCCTGCACCTTCCCACTCGAGCATCACTCCCTAGGCATGGGTGCCCTCAGGTCTTCCTTTAGCTTTGGGTTGCATCAACAAGAATCTGGAAACAGAGATGGCTATCCTGTGTTCTCTGGTTGCCCCTTTTGACTGCCTCTGTGATTCCGAATTGACAGACTCTATCTTAATCGCCTGATGATGCCTCATTTCGTCTACAGGTTCAGTGCCCTCAGGACCTGTGCTTCCTACATTCATTACAAGGGCATCCAGCTATGAGCCCTAGAGGTATTTCACTACACGCCATGTGAGCGTCAAGACACAGATGTCCTTCACAATGGCTGGATGACGGCCGTGCTAGTCAGTCAGTCACTCAGATAATCCAAATCCTGCCTGCAGGCTTCCTTGCTGGCTATTTTTAGGGCCTTGCCTCCATTACAACCAGTACTGAAAATGGTGAAGCTGTCCTCTTGGATGCAAGGAAGCAGGAGACTCATTGGAGGGTTGAGGCTGAGTTCTGAAAGGGTTGGTACCAGGCTTTGATGAGGACCTGTGGTCAGGTCCTAAGCACGGTGCCCGCGTCACAGAAGGAAAGCAGCCCAGGGTAAGCAGACACTCAACATTCCCCCAAATGAGACCAGATTGCAAACCCTTCCTGGGTGGAGGCAGGGGGACCAGGGATCTGGGGATGTACAATTACATGACTTTCAAAAGTGAACCGTAACGTTCACAGCCACAGTGAGGTTCTGGCTTCTGCAGGCTTACCTGATGAGTCTTACCTGAATATCGTCCATAGGCTGGGGGCACTCCTCACTCTCTGCACTATCCCGGTAGGCCCCCATCTCTGTATTCATCACCTCTCGGTTAGCCATCATCAGGACACTCATTGGTTCCCTCGGACGCACCTGTGAAGGCGCCGCGTCCTTTACTACACTGGTCCCCTTCGGATTTCCAGTCACCTGCACTGTAGACACACCAATGTAAAGATCTTTGGAACTCCACTTTACTACAGGCTGAGGTGCAGAGGCTTGGAATGCTGCCGACTCTGGAGCGGGAGGGGAGGCTTCCCGGCTGTAGTCCCTCACTCCTTCACTGGGGCTGATTGTTTCAGGGGAGGACTGCTTAGAACTAGGGCTTTGCTTCCTGATAATTGGCTGCTCCAGACTCAGTGCAGTGCAAAGCAGTTTCTCCTGCCTTGCCTGGAAGGACTCGGGGTTCAATTTATGCTTTTTGGGAGCTGGATAATCTTTGTGGCTCTCACTGCTGTAGTAATTAGAGGGTTCAGACCGAGGTCTTCTCAGATCTGAAAAGTACAGTAGAAAGGACAGTCAGGACAGGTGACGAAAGCAGGAACCCTAAAGAACCAACATGTTACGCCTGAGAGATAAGAAGTGCGAAGCTGGAGCGCAAGACACGTTCCTGAGCTGTCGCCATTCCCCAGCAGCACTGCCTGTACTTAGGTAATCCTCCAAGGGGTGTGCGTCCTGGACAGACAGACTTTCCATACTGGGAGGGGCACTAGCTATTTTAAAAGGAAAATCAGAAACACTATGTAACCCTCCCCTTGCCGCCAACCCTTAAAAGTATGTGGGTATTCTACGGACTCTTCTAAGGGAAGCCGCGGAAAGCCAATGGGGAAGCTGGCCAAGTTCTGAGATGAAACCCTTGTGAATTTGTACCTGGATTGGTGCTTGCAATGACGGTGACTCCTTTGGGTATTTCTGGAGAGCTCATGGCCTCCCGGTGCCACTGGGCCATCCAGCTGTCTGTGCTTGGCTCTTCGCTCGGGGCACAGTGGATCCTGGGGGTCTGCCCCAGCTGGGCCTGCTCGTCTCTTTGCAGATGCTCCAGACACTCTGCTAATTTCACATGGCCCCTCGACCTGGCAATTCCCAAAGGCAGCCTTCCCAGAGAGTCTGGGATGGAGATGGCACGGCGGTCCCATTTGTACAGCACCACTGCTGCTTCCAAGTGCCCTAGGGCACAAGCCCACATCTGAGAGTCGGGAAGACAGAACAAGGAACTCAGCAAGAGGCCAAAACCACACTTCATTTTGCTGTTGCTAGCAGCGATCTACAAGTCTTTCCGGCAGTCTCAGTGGGGCCATTACAGTCGCCTCTAACAAATGCCCGATTCCAGTGGGAAGGAACGCTGTGCATGTCTGACAGTCTACAGAGTTTAAAAATTTACTTTGCCAAATCAGTTTAGAATTTATCTTTGTATTTCTTTTTTCCCCCAGAAAGGGTCTCATATAGCCCAGGCTGGCCTTAATTCACTGTGCAGCCAAGAGTGGCCCTCATTGCTTCCTCCCCGAAAGCTGACGTTAGAGGCCTCCACCATTGTACCCTGTTTTGTATCTCATCACTGGGGTCAGAATCCCTTTGCCAGTCCAGAGATGGTCAAAGACTATAAACAAACCTCTTCCTCCCCCACCTCCCCCGAGACAGGGTTTCTCTGTGCAGCCCTGGATGTCCTAAAATCACTCTGTGAACCAGGCTGGCTACAAACCCAGAGATCTGCCTGCCTCTGCCTCCCAAACGCTGGGATTAAAGGTGTGCACCACCAAAGCCTGGCTAACAAGCCTATTCCTCACCAGAGGAGTACAGGAGAAGTGGTCCACATTCAGGGGGTCAACTTCCAGTTCCAAATCAATGCTGTCTGCATGCTTTGTGCTGTTGGGGATGGAGAACACGGAGGTTACCACAGGTTAACCCATGAGGAAAGGAAATACCGGAACAACACAAAACCCATGAAAATGAAACCAAACTGGGCACCTAACCTTCCTGATATGAAGAAATGGGACTCTGGACTTCAAAGGTAGTTTGGATTCCACTTGACAGAAGCCCAAGGGGAACAAAACGTCTGACATCTCGTATCTCACTCAGTTGTCTAGGGCACGAGACCACATGAACCTCTCAGGAACTGAACTGTTCTGGGAAAAAAGCCCTGGCTCACGGGCTGTCACATGCACCAGATGACTGAACTCCTTCGGGAAAGCCCAGGAAACTGAGAAGTGAGGACAGCTGAGTCCTTTGCACCCGCCCTTACCGCCATTTGATGAGGGTCTGGATCAGGGTGGCGTAGCCCTGGGCAGCAGCCAGGTGTAAGAGGGTCATTCCACGGAAAGTCTTCGAATGGATCAAATGCTTGGATTTGGCCCAGCAGGCTCGGCTCATCATCTTTTCACAGACAACAACCACACGACTCTCAAAGCAGCTCCCTAGGGTCCCGGTGCCTGAAGCACACTGTGTCATGAAAAAGTACACGTTACCCCCGAGGACACATCAGAGAGACGATGACAGTTAGCAGCCAACAGAGAACATAGTTAACTGTGAAAATAAATGTTAAGAAATAGAAGGGGCTGGCAAGATGGCTCTGAGGGTAAAGGCTCCTGCTGCCAAGCCTGGAAACCACATGATAAGTTGCCTTCTGGCCTAGGTATGTGCGCAAGGTTTCTCTGTAGCTTTGGTGCCTGTCCCGGAACTAGCTCTTGTAGACCAGGCTGGCCTCGAACTCACAGAGATCCGCCTGCCTCTGCCTCCCGAGTGCTGGGTTTAAAGGCATGTGCCACCACCACCCAGCCACACACACATTATTTTTAAGCTTCTGTGTGTGCGCGCGTGTGTGTATACATATATATGCATTATGAATGTGTGCCTGAGCACAGGTGTGTGCCTGAGGATGCTGGAAGAGGGTGTCGGGTTCCTTGGAACAGGAGTTACAGCCAGTGATGAGCCATCAGACGAGGGTGCTGGGAACTGAGATTGGGGCCTGCTGTAAGAGCAGTTTGAGGTCTGATCTGCTGAGCCATCTTGCCAGCCCCTAATATTTTTTTTATATAATAGACATGCCAATGGCTTCAACCGTGCACAAAGAACTTCAGGCTGAGGAAGGCCGAGAGTGGGAGAAGTGGTCTTCCCCAGGGAGGAGTGCACCAGCTGGTGAAACAGTCAGCCCTGAACACAGTTAACATGCTATAAACTGAGCAGGTTGTATTTGGGGATATACATATTTATGTATGTCTATACACATACACATATGTATGTAAACAACAATTAATGAAAAAAGAGGCCATGAATTTGAAAGAGAATAAGCAGGGGCATATGAAAGTGTAACAATGAATTTTACACACACACACATAAGTTCTACTTTACAGAAATGTTACATTTTTAAAAGAATTTTGTTTAAACTGAGATATAAAAGCAAAAATTATTATTGTTGTTGTTGTTGTTATTATTGTTAAAGACTAAGCACGAGGAAACAGCACTCTGAAGCTGAGGTGCCAGGGCTCTCTCACTAACGGTCAGTGACTGCGGCACACGATGTGTCTCAGGAGACAACCCTAGCCGCCCAGCAGGGGCAAACATCACAGGCAGTAACTTGTTTTCATCTGGGTCACACTGACAGCTGATTCGTGCTTCTCTGGAAACCTTTAGAAAAAAATGCTTGAAACTATCCAAAAACATTTTTTTTTATATGTTGGAGTGTTTGCCTGCACGCTCTGTGTATGTGCCAGGTGTCCAGAGTTTCAGCTGGCTAGCCTCCATGTGGGTGCTGGGAGCTAAAAGGTCCTGAGAGAGCAGCCCATGCTTTGACCAATGAGCCATCTCTCTAGCCCTCAATTTTTTTCGTCTTTAAGGGATACTTGGTAAAGCATGAGCTATATGAACCATAAGAGTTACTAATCATACGGGCCCACAGGAGATGAGTTCACCAACGCTGGCCACACGAAAGAGGGATGAAATCAAGGCTGGTAACCACCGCAGCCCGAGTCTCGGACAGCAGTCTTATGTTCGACACACCACACTCCCAGCCAAGTGGCACGTCCAGCCTAATTCTCATCTCTGGTGTCACCGGGAAAGCATTTACTTTTCTGGCAATAAATTCCATATAATCCAATTAGTACAAAAATAACATTGTTCCTCACCGCTCTTTATTTTTAAATATGGAAAACATGTTTCCAAAAATTAAAAAGGCAGCTGATGGATGCAATGCCATTCCTCAGCCAGAATTGTCAAAACATCCCAAAGATGGCGGGGCCATCCCAATAAGCAGCAGGCTGGCCTTGACCCAGGCAGACACCAGACAGACAACTTTAAGAGACATGGAGATCATCAACCAGTGAATGAATGGGGAGCGTTTCCCATCAAACGCAAACAGCCCTGTCTCTGCCATCATGTAGCAGATACTATCATCTACAAATCAACCGCATAACCCATAGTAGCTGTACTTGACACTGTATCAGGTCAACGAGGGCCATTGCCATGTGGCTGAGCCTGAAATATGGTAGACTGTCCCCTTTACACAGTGTTTGTGTCTGAAAAGGATTTCATGGGAACTTCTTATTTGGTCCTCAGATCAATTAAACAAGGATTACTTGGTTTACAAAACTTAGCAGTGTCAGGTGGAGACAAAAGCCCTATTTGCAGGGGGTGCATGCCTTTACTCGGGAGGTAGAGGCAGGAAGATCCCGTGATTCTATCCCAGCCTTAACAACACATGTGGTCTCTGTCACCAACTTCTGAAAATGGGAAAGTCAGAGAAAATCTGAGATTAGTGTGGGCAGACACTATGTTTTTGCTTTCATCTATTATTAATATTAAAAACACTGGTACTAGAGAGATGGCTCAGCAGGTAAGAGCACTGGCTGCTCTTGCAGAGGACCCAGTTCAATAACCAGAACCCACATGATGGCTCACAACCATCTGTAGGTCCAGCTCCATAGGGATCTGATGCCCCCATCTGGTCTATTTGGGTACTGCATGCATATGGTGCACATACATACAGGCACACCTACATATACAGGCACACAGATACAGGCACAACATTCATGAACATAAAAATAAAATATTGCTAGTGTTTCATATTTTCAAGGTTTCCAAACAAACAAACAAAATGTACTTTAAAAGAGGAAATTCTGAGCCGGGCGGTGGTGGCGCACGCCTTTAATCCCAGCACTCGGGAGGCAGAGGCAGGCGGATCTCTGTGAGTTCGAGACCAGCCTGGTCTACAAGAGCTAGTTCCAGGACAGGCTCCAAAACCACAGAGAAACCCTGTCTCGAAAAACCAAAAAAAAAAAAAAAAAGAAAAGAGGAAATTCTGCTGGGCATGGTGGTGATGTACACCTTTTCCCCGGCACTTCAGAGGCAGAGGAAGCAAATCTCTATGAATTTGAGGCCACCATGGTCTACATAGTGAGTTCCAGGCCAGTCAGGCTACATGGTGAGACCCTGTCTCAAAACAGAAGGAGACGTATGGGAGAAGAGAGAGAGAGAATTCTGAAAGGAAGCCACCCTTTACATGAAGAGCAAGAAGGGGTTCCTGCAGCTTTCAGGAAAGGACTCGGTAGTGAAGACAAGAAATACCACCTGGTCCTCAATCTCAATCTCAGGGAGTCTGAAGAAATAGTTTATTCTCAAACTTTCTTAAAATAAAGCTCCTAGATGGAATGTTTTAAAGCAAAATGTGGTCACCGCCCTGCACTTGGTCATGTGACACACTTGTGCAGCGTATGAAAACAGTACATGTGGCTGCTGGATGGGACAGCTCATAGACAGGGGGGCTTGCATCAGGTCTGTCAGGCTGAGTTCAGTCCCTGGAACCAAGGTATGAGGAGAAAACTGACTCCCCAAAGTTATCCTCGACATCACATGACTGTCATGTATACTGAAGAAAATAAAATTTAAAAACAAAAGGGGAACAGGTGAATCACTGGTGAGTTCAAGGCCAGCTACGACTGTTACACAGGGAAACCCTATCTCAAAAAACCAAAACCAAAACCAAACCGAAACAAAACAAAAGGGGATGCACATGTGAAGGATGAGAAGACAGTGTAACGGGAGGCTGTTCCTCACTGAACAACATTCCACGAACCATTTTCTGAGTTCACCTTCCGGGGGCTCAAAAAGGCCTAAGACCAGCTGAATTAAGTTATGTTCTGTATTTCCTAAGACAGGGTTAAGACACAGAGTATGAAAAAGAAAGACTGGTTGGATCCAGAGTTTCAGCAGACATGCATCGAGCCCTGGCTGCTCCTTCCAGCTACCAGGGAACACAGTGAGATCTGAGACCAAGGACAGCTGACAACCCGGGTGGTAAGTCTCTGCACCGAGGTGTCCTCGACACCACACAACCCGATCAAGGCAGCAAGAACCAAGTCCCCGGCAATCCTCTCCCAGTCTCCGAATGACAGCAGGAGCAACAGGGAGGTCACTGGGACCAGGTGTCTCGCACAAGCACACGAGTGAAGCACTAAAGCAAACAGAAACTGCCAACGGCAGGGCCTACCTGGGCCTGGCCCCCTCCGGTACCACTTCCGCTGCCACCTCCATTGCCGCCTCCGCTGCTTGTCTGCTTGTGCTGCTGGGAGCCCGTCATCTCGGCCATCCTCCTCTCCATCTGCTCCAGCCGCTCCAGGATGGACATCCTGAACTGGTTATCTAGGGCAGAGCAGGAGGACTGAGGCTACACTCTAGATGAAAGACATTTGACCTGTGGCCTACGCCAGCTTGGGAGTCTGGCGTCCAAAAGGCTGTCAGTAACTCTGCCAAATGAGGGACTACAGCAGCTCAGCTTCCCCAGCACACACGCAGCCTGTGCTGCACACCAGGATGCAGTGTTTACAGCAGCCCCAGTCCCCAGAGGAAGGGCCAGAAAAATCCCTCTGTGTCAAAAATCTTGCTTTGGGGTTCTTGCTTCTATTTCTTTGTGGAATTCCCCATAGAAACCTCGAGGAGATCTGACAGACGCCCCCTCCCCACCCAGGGCAGACACAGGAAGTGGGTATGGTGAGCTAGTAAGGAAGGAGGCAGGATGGGTATATTATACAAGGTAAGCACTCAGACAAGTTTAACAGTCTCACTCCTACCTAGGAAAAGGAACAGGCCAACACTGTGGGAGCTGGGACTGGAATTGAGAAAGCGTGATTCTTTACTGCTGAGTGAAGACCAGACAGCACGTCTGCACCCCAGCTGTGTGCACGCAAGCGCACACGCAGGGAGAGTCAGGATACGTCACAGGAATAAGAGGAGTCCAAACCATGTTAAAGTCATCAGTGCCTATATTAATGCCACGGATTGTCATAAATATGGTGCCAGGGGCTCATCAGTGGGGAGGGCAGAAAGGGCTTCTTTCTGCAGGAGCCCAATTATAATGTGCAGAACAGGCAGCTAATGGATGCGACCAGGAACAGCGGGTGGGCACAGAACCGAGGTAGGAAAGGCAGCCCTTAAGTCTGGTGGGTGTGAGAAGGAAAACCAGATACACCAGCCAGGGATGAAGGGGTGAAAGTGTGTAAGGGAGTAAATACAAAGACCCGAGACAAGACACAGAGGGTCAGCTGGAGAGGTGGGCACAGCTAGGACACACTACCCACCTGCCATACCTCCGAGTCTCAGCTCCTCGGTGGGAAGAGAGTTACTGTGGGAATCACACTGGTTCACACATGTCCATGCTCAGAACATATTATGCCCCAAATGAGTGTGCTCACCATCAGCTTCTAACGATGAACTATGGTCTTCAGGACCTGGCTGAAGACAGTTACAGCATGCTTCTCCCCAGAGTGCGAAAGACACAGCTCTGGTCAGAACACGGTATCTGAGTGACAAGCCTGGAAAGGGTAGATCTGCCAGTGCTCCCCGCTACCCCACTGGTGAGTGGGGCAGTGCTCCCTGCTACCCCACCAGTGTTGCCTAGACTACTGAGCAGGGCAGCTCACATACAAGAAGGGAAGAAAGGCAGAGGCAAGAGACCCAGGACAGCACCACTCAAGCCTGCCCTGGCTCTGCACCAACAGTCAGGCAGACACTGTTGCTTCACTTTACAGACAGGGACACACAGGGGCGACTCCTCTCTGGCCTCTCAGAGGCCCCAGGAAGGAACCATTACCGAAAGACAGAAGCACAGGTTTGAAGTGCCCTGAAAAACCGACTTCTTCCCTGGAAATTTTAAATGCCAACTTGTCATCAAATTCCTTTTACTTTACTAAACCAAAACCCTTCTATAAGTCCCAATGTTGCCTCCACGAATACCATTAACAGAAACAAGCACTGCTCACTCGGGTGAGTGGGAGACCATCCACCTCTGCTCCAGTTTCACACGCACAGGTGAATACGGCCATCTTGGAAGATTTCAACCAAGTGTCATGCAGGGAAGCCTCAGAATGAAGGCGGGGGATGGGATGACCAGAGGGGCCTGGAGTGACCACACACCTCTTTCTGGGAACCTAAATGCTGCAGGAAACAGGTCCCTCCATCAGAAGCCAGCTAGAGACAGAACTCTGCCCTACAGGGGTTCCTGCAGCCTGACCTCCATTCCTCCCTGGGCCTGTACTAGGCTAACTCAGCCTACGAAATGACGTAGCTTGATTCTAAACCTCCACAGCTCCGGCAGCTTCTTTGTAATCCTGCACTTTTCCCAGGCACCATGAACCCGGCAGCCAAGAAGAACACCCCCTCATGAGACAAAGTCACACAGGTGCTGAATGTCCCGAGACCTGGTCACACCCACCCATTCCCTGTGGGACAGAGCTGGAGTGTGCTGTGCTAAGGGTGGTCACCTGCTCATCCCTCCTACCAGGCCCAGACATGACTCCTGGCAAACACTACAACTCGCACACTGGCTTCTGATCTCTAGGAACAGGGCTGCCCTGTTGCTATGCACTGAGTGCTTCCATGTATTTGGCTTCTCCAAGGAGCACTGCAGGATGATGCCCAGCCTCTGAATCACGAGGCAAGTAAACGCCTCTTTATAAATCAGCCAGTCTCGAACAGAGCCGCCTCTGTATCTTTGAAAGATGGGAAATATTCTTTAATGATGGTGGAGGAGACGGCTCAGTCCATTAAGCGCTTGCCATGCAAGCACGTGTGTGAACTTGTGATTTCCAGTAAAGTAAGCATGTCAGGCTGGAGCGGATGTGATATCCCACCTGTCTATAATCCCAGCGCTCGGGAGGTAGGGATGGGATCCCTGGGGCAACCTGGACTAGCTGGATCCACCACGCTCCTAGTCTGAGCGTGAGAGGATAATGAACGTACACTATTGCTGAGCCCTTGAACGTACACACATACAGCAAAACAGAAAGCCCAGGCCTGGTGGCTGCCCTAGAATAAGAGGGTAAGGCAAGAGAATCAGGAGTTCAAAGCAAGTCTGGGTAACTTACTGACACACTGTTTCAAATTTTAAAATGCCTGAGGGCTGGGCATAGTGGCTCATGCCTTTAATCCTAGAACTCAGGAGGCTGAGTCAAGCAGATCTCTGTGAGTTTGAGGCCAGCCTGGTCTACATAGCAAGCTCCAGGCCAGCCAGGCCTACACAGTAAGACCCCGTTGAGAGAAAAAGGCAAACACCACAATGCTTGGGCTGTACACAGTGATACGGTGCTTGCCTCATCAGCCGCTACACCCAATCATTCACTCTGCACATGCACGGGCTCCTTGCTGTCATTTCCTAACACAGCGCAACCACTGAGACAGTGTTTACCTTGTATTACACATGGTAAACAACCATGACATGATCAAATGCACAGAAGATGAGCAGAGGCTCTATGCAAACACGTCATGCAAGAGACCTGAGCGTTCTTGGAGCCTGGTATCTTCGCGATGTCCTGAAACCAGTACACCATGGGGACCCAGGAGGCACTAAACTTCACTATCGCCATAGAAAATGGGCTCTGACACCGGCGCTTCTCACTTTAGGAGAGCCTGAGAGACTGCGCGGCTCTATTCCTAGAGCTTCTGACCCCGCAGGTCTGGGTGAGGCCCAGCACCTGCATTTCTAACAAGCTCTCAGGGGATGCCGCGTTTCAAGGAGCCTGGCTCAGGCCCTGGCTTGTTTCTACTGTGAAAGAACACCCCTCTCTCTTCCACCCAGTGCCTGGATGACCATCTGACAGAGCAGATTCCTCCCCAGCACTGCCTTGGGTAAACTCTGCTTGGCCCCATCCACTGCAGCTCTATTGACGAGAATTGGGACACACACTTTCCCCCAAGCGCAGAGCCAACTCAGATCTGCCAGTGCTTGAAAACGTTAAGACCCCGTCCCCCATCCCACCCCCATACTGCTCGCCGCACCTAGCCAAGCACTAACCACGTTCCGTTTTCTTCCAGTTTCTATTCACAGTGGGACGTACTCCCTGGTGTTTGTCTCTGCCCTTGCAAGGCTCTCAACTGGTCTATTTACCTGCACGGCTTCAGGAAGGAAAAGGTACTTTAGCCATCGTCAGGCTCCTCCCCACAGAACAAGCGCACACATGGACCTGCATCCCAGCTCTGAGGTAAATAATCCTGGCTCCTCATTCACCCAAGCTCTCATGAGGACTATCTTTTACCTTAACCCACTTTTTGTAGAGATGGCATTCTTCAATCGTGCAGCGGAAACACAGTAGAAGGAACACGGGAGAGATCAGAGCTCTTGGTTGGACCCAGTTACAATGTGACCCACCTGATACCTCGTTTCTCTCATCTGTAAAGTAGGTGCACCAAGGTCTATCTTATTTGGATTAATTAAACTAACATGTGAGGTCTAAGTGAGGAGACTTCTAAGTGTGAGCTACCGTCACGCTGGCGTCTGCTATGGGGCCTTTAAATATATATACATATATGTGTATATACATAAATTTTAAACGCATTTTATTTATATACACGTGGCTAATACTAACATATCATTTAACCCCTTGTTAAATGAAGAAACTAACATCATATGGCCCTACTATTAACCACAGACCTGAATCTGATTGCAGTTCATCGCCCGCTAATGGGTCTTCTCTATTTCAGGACTTAGCCCAGGACGTGCAACACTCAGGTCTAAGGCTCCTTGGACTTGTGGCTGTCACTAGCTCTTACTCTTGACTTCCGTAAGTTTGAAGAACACTAACTGGATATCCTGCAGATGGTTCTCCCTTTTAGGGTTATCTGCTGACTGGACAGGGACTGTGGGGCTTTAGGGGACACAAGAGGTAGACTGTCCTCCTTCCATGACATCGGCAGGTCTGAGGTGCATGGATGGTGTGACCCTGGGCTGTATGGTTTGGGGAGGGGACTGCTGGACTTGTTGGTAAAGTTGGGATTGTTCTCACACAGTCTTTGGAAGCAAGGAACTAACTTCTATGATCAAAGGGAAGGGCACTGAGTCCCACGTCTTAGGAAAGGGTGTCACATGCCATCTGGAGTTCTCCAGTGAGGAAGGAAGCCTTGTCTGTCAGTCACTGTGTGTACTTATTTCCCCCCTGGTCACACTCAACACTATATTACTGACTTCTTGCTCAGTGTCCCTGCTTTAGCCACAAGCTCTTCCAGGCAGGACCCCACGTCTCTCTGTCATGCCACCACCATTTTCCTCTTTTGAACACACCCTCAACCTCCAGGGACGTGCCATGGGAGCTCTGGGTTTGCCTGTATTTCTCCTGCCCAGTCTTAGAAGAAACAATCCCTGTGAGGTGTGG